CCTGATCTAGAGGCTCATATAATGTCTATTGGTTAAGTTCAATTTGGTCAACAGTTGTGTGGGTTCTCTGCTATAGTTTCTCATTATCATTAATAAGCAGTTTGTGAGGAGAGACATAAAACCATTCAGCTAAATGCTTTGATCATCAAACTCTTCCCCCCTAGATTCTGTGACCATTGATAATTCTTCTGTGTTAATCGATGTGAAATGTGCAAAGTGATCATTTTTTACCAGTGCTAACCAGTTTACATTTATCAAAACAGCTCCAAAGCTACCCAGACTTTTAGATGTTAGGTCATCTTATGAAGAACCCTTTCCTATTCAGCATCACAGGCTTGTGGTTTCTTTTGTTATTTAATGAATAACCTTTACTCTTTATTTTCATGTTCAAATCAAATTTGGAAGCCCTTTGAAGCTGACTCCTATATCCTTATTTTCTCTTTGTCCTTTTGACATTGCTCTTTCCCACCCCCAGCGTGTGTGCGCGCGCGCGCGCACACACACACACACACACACACACCCCTTAAAAAAAAGTACCAATAGTTTCTTTTTGGCATAATAAGACAGTTTAGATTTATCTTATAACTTCTCTGTCCTAACTTTATCGTAAAACCCTGTGTGGTGGTAGTGGTGTTAGGTGCCATTGAATTGATTTCAACCCGCAGCAGTCCTGTGCACAACAAAATGAAACTGCACAGTTCTGTGCCATCATCAATTGTTCCTATGCCTGAGCCCATCAATGGAGCCGATGTTATCAGTCCATCTCATTGGCCGCTTTCCTCTTTGTCACTGCCTCTCATGAAAATAAAAGATGTCTTCTGAGGACTGGCCCCTTCTGGCAACATGTCCAAAATATGTTAAGATGAAGTCTCAGCATCCTTGCCTCTAAGGAGCCCTCTGCCATACTTTTTCTGGGATAAATTTGGTTTGTCCTTTTAGCCATCCTTGGTACATTCAATATTCTTTACAGCACTGCAATCCAAATGCATCTGTTCTTCTTTAGTGTCCAACTTTCGCATGCATATGGGAGCAATTGCAAATATTGTGGCTTGGGTCAGGTACACCTTAGTCCTCAAGGTGTGTGTAACACCCTTTCAATACTCTGCAGCACATTGTTGGCCTGATGCAACACATCTTTTGATCTCTTGACTGCTGCTTCCGTGAGCATTGATTGTGGATCCAAGCAAGACAAAATCCTTAATTTCAGTGTTTTCTCCATTTATCATGATGTTACCTATTGGTCCAGTTGAGGATTTGGGTTTCCTTATATTGAGTTATAATCCATACTGAAAGCTACAATCCTTGATCTTCATCAGCAAGCATCTCAATTCCTCCACTTTCAGCAAGGAAAATTTACATCATCTGCATACTGAAAATTGCTAAAAAGTTTCCTTCAATCTTGACGCCACATTCTTCATATAAATTCAGCTTCTCTGACGATTTTTCATCATAGAGATTGAGCAAGCATGGTGAGAGGCTATAACCCTGACTCACACCTTTCGTAGTTTTAAACCATGCAATGTTCCCTTACAAGTTCCAAATGAGAACAGTGAAGTGTTCTGGATTTCCCATTCTTCTCAATGTTATCCACAGTTTATTATAAAGACAAGTAAACATCATTTTGGAATTCTCTGCTTTGAGCCAAGATCCATCTGACACCTGCAGTGAAATTTCTTAATCCGTTTCCTCTTCTGAATTTGCCCCGAAACTCTGGCAGTTCCCTGTGATTACTGCTGCAGCCGTTGTTAGATGATTTAAGCAAGATTTTACTTGTGCTTGGTATCAATGATGTCATACTATAGTTTGAGCATTCTGTTGGGTCATCTATCTTTGGAATGGGCACAAATGAGGATCTACCATGTCTCTTGGTAATTATTAATCCTGTTACTGTCTCTGCATATTTACCTATATTAGATTTCATATATGGAAAAACAAGACAACCAAACAGTGTGTGACTTCTGCTGAAAACCAACAGAATTTGTATAATAGTCTCATTAAAATAAAAGATTTCCAAGGCTGACACGTTTAAGGAATATGGCAAGCACATCTTTCTCATGTCTAGCTGTTGGTGGCTTTCATCCATCAAACTTTTGAGTAGCTACCCAAGTGCTTAAACCAGGGGTCCTCAAACGTTTTAAACAGGGGGCCTGTTCACTGTCCCTCAGACTGTTGTAGGGCCGGACTATAGTTTAAAAAAAAAACTATGAACAAATTCCTATGCACACTGCACTTTTTTTTCTTTAAGGGTGGAGACAAGACCCAGTCATGGACACAGGGGCCTGCTGGGTCTCCTTGCTTTATTAGTTTCCAGCTGATCAGAAAGTTGGAGAGGGTGAGGTGGGAGGAGAGGGTGAGGTCGCCACCAGGAGCTCTGGACGTACTCTCCCGGGGCAGGCTTGGCAGGTACAGACTGTGGGACAAACCTCCCAGGCCCCACCAGGGACTGGTAGGAAGACCATGGATTAGTAACTGCTCACCCACACAGATGGAGACCTGGGACTTAGGGGTTGTGCCATGGGCCTGCATGCCCCAGCAGGTCACAGACCATCTGTGCCCTGGTGAGCCTGCGAGGATCTGACCAGAGCGACTCATGCAGTGACCAGGCTGGAGCCGCCCACTGCGACATGGCCTTGTAGTGGTTGCATCTGCTCTCACAACTTAGGGGGTGAGCACAGGCCCTGATGAGGCCTGGAGCCCCTTTGGGAATTGGGGCTCATAGGGGTGAGACCAGACAGGTAGGGAGAGGCCGCCAGGCTGAGGAGAGAAGCCACCAGTGTTTTGTCTTTAAAGACACAGACACCCTAAGACCAGAGTCCCAGCCTCGAGCCTCGGAGGCCAAGATGAACCAGCCCTCAGCCCCGTCCTGGCACAGGGGGTAGGGTCGTCAGGAAACACTGCCCCCCCATCCAGCCCTCCCTGCCTGAAGGTCAGTAGGCTGTGGTTCTAAAGGGGGGTGACCAATGCCTGTGGCTGCTTGGGGTTGGGCTGCCCGCTTACTTCCCCTGGGGGGCAGATTTGTTGACTTAAGGGAGCTCCTGAATATTCAGAAGCGGGACTGCCCCCCCCACCCCCCTGCTTGGGGCCATTGTTGAGGAACTGGTGGCCAAGCCCGTGGCCGCATTTACCACAGGACACCTTAAAGGCATCAGGCTGATTGCCCTCAGGCGTCCACTTGGCCACGCTCCACGCTGTCACTGTGAATGGTCTCTGTGAAGGCTGGCCACAGCGCGTGTGCTTGTACTTGGAGCCTCTGCAGAACAGCTCGTAGCCGCGCTTGGCACACACATAGACAGCGGGTTCAAAGTGATTCTGGAAAACCTCGCCCCCGGAGAAGCTGCAGAAAGACATAAATAGTGCCACCAGGTTCCCGTCCCGCTCTCACAAACCGACAGCTCTGAGTGCTCCGACCCTACCGCACATATCTTATTTTGAAGTAAAAAAACAAAACGGGCAAAAACACCTGGCGGGCCGGATAAATGTCCTCTGC